GAGTGCCCCCATAGCAAGCAGCTTTCTGTGGGAGCACTCGGCAGAAGGGAGGGGCCAGGAGTGCTGGCGGGGTTCCCGAGAAGAGGAGCATTCGGGCTGCAAAACCACTGAAAGAGCAGGTAAGCATGACATGTTTGTATTAAAAAAAACAATTGCCTTTAATATTACTTTAAGCCCTGAAATCCAGCCTAATGAAAACATAAAATTAACAGAGTTTGGCAGCTTTAGGTATCGTGTCATTACTCATTAGTCTCCAGAGAGCATAAAAAGGCAGTCTCGCTCACTATCGGACATTTATTTTCATATTTTGGACAGAACAACAGCATGAGTAAAGTTGGGTATACAGGTTAAGTTGTTTTTATTCAACCAGTGGGTTGAATGAAAAAAAACCCTCAAAATTCCCCCATCACAATTACACTGATCAGTGCTTCCTCCATTGGCTGAAGAGGCTGATAGAATGCTGGTTTTCCACCAGGACTGTTCAACAGAGAGGGGTACACATGGATCAAAATTTGTCCGGTTGCTGCTGAACTGGCCTCGTTTCATTATGTATGCCCAGCTTTAGACTCCCTCTACTGAAAGAAGAGAAGTGAGACTCCAATCTAGGGAAAGCAGATCTTAGAACTGTAGGAAGTGTATCTCATTATCTGACAGGCATAGTGAGATGAGTAATCCAGCTGTGTAGAATCTACTAAATCAGTTTTGAAAAGAGGGAACCATTAAACGATAATATATGAAAGGGTAAATATTGAATTATCGTTATTGTTTTAATTTAGTGGTCTAGTCTGCTTGCAGCACCTCTGATTCCTCTGTGTTTGCCTTTCAGTGAACTGGCATCCTGGCTTTAAACACACAATACAGTGAGAGGTTGGCGGCTGTTTACTGACTTGTTGTTTCTATGGCTAATCGGCTTCTTATGCTGGCCTGCTCAGGGCTTCATTTCACCAGGTTTTAGAAGATTGCTTAGTGCGTAGGTGTTTTTAATCCCATCTGCTCTTTAATCCCACTTGCCTGTTAGGTTAACTGTAGTCATCACAATAACAAGGTGGTTTGCCAAGTTTAGTGTGTTACATTATATTGACATTAGCATTGTTAAAGTGAACCTGTCACTAAATGTAACAAGAAGAGAAACAATGTTTATAGGTAGCTTGATGGCTGATTCTTTGAGGTGCCTGCACATATTCTTTCTGAAAGCGCTCCACATCCTCTGGGTTTGCTGATTTTATGTACATGCTGTATATTTAAAGCCCAAATCCAGGAAACTTAAAAATTTTTCCTTGCAAGGGGGCACCTTGAGATGCACTTTCACAGCAAAGGTTGACTGCTCATGCAGTCTAGGGGACTGTAAAAGTAGGTTTACTTACCCCATCCTTCACTCCCATCGTAGATGATTCTCCCCTATGTTCCAGTAGTGGACTGTCCCTTGATATTCTGTTATCCAATGAAGGACAATGGCCTCTGCATCAAACTTGATGATGTCAGAGGACCTTAGAGCATGGAGAAGAAAAGACTGCAGGGACCGCTGTAGCAGCCCAGAGGAGCCTGCAGGAGCAGAGGATCAGGTAGGTAAAACTGATGTACCCAGTGTCCTTGGCAAAAACGACCAGGCAACCCTTGTAGCGTGGGCGAAGCCCCAAAGCAAGGGAGAATTTTTAGGTTTCCTGGAGTTCACCTTTGATGCCAACTTACAACTGATAAAAACAATACTGTAATTCTATTAATATTCAATTCTCTTTAAAATCAAGCTTGTTACTTAGAAAGATTTTATCAGGTGGCTCCACTTCTATACAATGTGACATCTCTATCTACCTAGAATTAATCTAACCTCACCCTGCTGCTCATTGTGAACATAGTGGGCAAATGTAACCAGTATTGTGTATATCATTGGCGTTTGACCAGCTTAGTGGAAAAATAATATACTAATTATATCCGGCAGTTAATACTGCCAGTTACACTTTATCTGCATTATTTATATGCAGCAGTGCCTGTAAAGCGCTTTATAATTGGCAGATATTGTATTGGATAGGACCTACCCATTCAAAATGAACTCTGTAACTGCGAATAGTTCATGCGTTTCTTTTGTAGAAATTAAACAGTAATTGTTTTTTATAACAAGGAATCACAATGAAGCGTTAAACAGAAAAATTACAAATCAGAGTTTATTAGGCCATTTTATAATAGAAACCTATGTCCAGCCAAATGTTTTTCCTGAGGATGGGTTAGAACCCTCGCTAAGTTGTTATTGCTATCTGGGCTCCATTGGAGAGATTCCCCCTCACTTCCTGTCCTGATGAAAATGTTTTCCCAGACAGGAAGTAAGGGGAATTCGCCATCAGCAACACAACAGGCAGTAGAAATGCTATACACATTTTTTACCTTTTCTACAGTCAGCCTGTGCCTATTGTATAATTATACCTTTTTATTGTAAGGCAGTCCAACATAGGCACACAAACGGAATGAACTATAACGCAGGTACTTTCAGCCATCTGGGTCCTTGTGCTGTTAAAGTGGTCATACATCCAAATATACAATCCCTTTTAGATTTACCAACAGCTATTTAGTGTGAGCACCAACCAACTAGGATGTACATTGATTGTTTAGGTAGGTTCTTATAGTGCATTGCATTGGTAAATCTAAATGTGTAATGTGTGCTTGCCTCGCTGATGGTAATGGCAAAGAAAGGAAAGAAATATGATACAGTGGTATTTGCTTTGAGTTCTTACTGCAGATAGAAAGAAATGCCTGATATATTCTATACATTTCTAAAGCTTGACCTACCTTTCAAACTGTGTATTATATATTTATGAAGACACAGGTGTGCAATGTTTTATAATAATATATGTTAAAATAGTTCACAGGAAAGATATGCACAATAAACCATATGACAGTATCAATAAGTAGCATGTCATAAATGGACTTTCACAGCTGTAAAATCCGTGACGATTGTTTAAAATTACATGAAGAGTAGGGACTATGACATTTGAATTTAGGTGTACTATTAATAGTGTTCTGGATAATGCATTGTAATAAAGGTAAAATTAACATTTTTGGTGTCTACATTATGAATTGTCAGTACTGGACAGTGCTGCTCTGTACTTGCGGGTCTTGAGAGACGTGGAACTGTTTGTCTGGAGGTCTTACTGGCCCTCTGCAATGGTACAGAATACTTCAGTACTCTCTAGATAAAGATCCTCCTTTTCAAATATTTATAGTATATACCTGTGCTGGCGTAGCTCCTCCTCTTCTGCCCTCCATACATAGTCTTTTATGTAACAGCCAAGGAAGGAGTGAACGAAATACTGTAGACTGACCCTGAATCTGCTTACTCACATCCAAGATGGCAGCACCCAGCAGTTGTCTCAGGGCTTTTAGATGTCTGAACAAGGGAGACTTTTATAGGTTAATAACATTCATTAAGTATGTTAAATGCATATATAAAAAGTATTTTGGGAATATTTCTGTTGATATGAATAGTCTGATGACAAGATCTCTTTTAACAACCAGAACTGTCCTGTTAGCCTGACTGGTATTTGAAGTAAATGTTTACTGGGCGGTTGTTGGCTACCTGCTGAAACTCCTAGTTGCCTCAGTGTCTCCAGCTTCAGCATTTCAAGAACTCTGAGTTGTAGGTTTGGAACTCGTTTACTTAGGAAGTAATGAAGGAAGGAGATACCAGCAATGGCACCTTCATACTTTTTACTGCAAGTTTTCTTTGAAGTAGAACTTAAGGTTTTTATTTTCGATAGAGTAGGGGAAGGTTATAATCCCCGCCTGGTTTTTTGCTATCTGTGTCCCATGGTGAGGTTTCCCTTCATTTCCTGTCCCATAGCTAGAAGAGGAAATCCCTTCAAAGTGAGGGAAATCCCTGGTTGTCACGAGAACTAGTGTCCCCATTGGAAGATTTACCCTCTATTTCTGCTCTGGTAACAACCCAAAATTTATGAAGTCTTTTACTTTCAGTGATAACATTCACTAGGACAAAAAGAGAGCGTGAACCTTCATGACCCGGGGGGGGGGGGGGGGGGGGGAATTACAGACGACAATAAACACCTGTCAGTGGTTCTAATCCCTTTCCATTCAATCCAAAACTCTAAAAAAAAAAAAAAAATGTCTTCAGATATACTAAAAGAATATGGTGAACTTCTATAGTGAGTGCCTTGCTTATAGAGTATAGCTGTGCAGGATGAGATGACTGAAAATGAATTGCTGAACGTACCTTGTCTATTGCTTTGTGCATTAGAGTAAACTCAATAATGACAAAATAGGTCAGAGTTCTAATCTTGCACAATGCCTATACACCTGAATTTGATTGTATTTACTTTTACAGAATGCATATTGTTTCATCTGTGAATATAACAAAATAATGTATTAGGCAAGTAGTTTAGCTAATCTGTGGTAGAATTGTTTTGGGTTTTTTTTCGCTGGCATTCAGTTTAGTAATCAGTAAATATGAAATGGTCTGTATGAAACTACTAATATAAGATAAAGACACATATTTTCAATCAGTTAACTTTCTTGAGTCAATGCAATGCTTTCTATTTCGTTGTATGATTTAGAGCAGTGGTCTCCAAACTGCGGCCCGGGGGCCAGATGCGGCCCTCTGCTTTATCTAGCCCTCGGGGCACTTTTTTATCCACTGATATCAACAATGGGGCATAAACCCCCCCCCCCCCCCACTGACTCCAATGAAGGGGCACAATTCATCCCAATGACACCAGTGATGAGGCACAATTCCTCCTAATGACACCAAAGATAGGGCACAATTCCTCCCACTGACAACAAAGATGGGGGAGGCATTGTTATTTTCCACTGCCATTGGGACTTTTTTTTACTTCCATTGGTCACAGTCTGGTCCCCCAAACGTCTGTAGGGCAGTAAACTGGCCCTTTGTTTAGAGACCCCTGATTTAGATCATTCTTCCTCTTATATGCCCACATCTTAAGAGAGGCATTTACAGTAAACATGCATAAATGAGCTTACTAAGATACTGTATTTTATTTCAGGTCAATGTACGGGTGACCACCATGGACGCGGAGCTGGAATTTGCCATACAGCCGAACACTACTGGCAAACAGCTTTTTGATCAGGTGGGACCCAGTAATTGTACAGTAATGTATCCATTTACAGGAAAATGTATTTTATGAACAGAATCTTTTTTATAGTTCTAATTCAAGTTATGTTGTTCCTTCCTAAATGTTGTGGTACTGATGCAAGATTCCTGTCAGGCTCATGCAAGTGTGAAGCTGTTATAGTTTGATTACGTGTGTGTAATTGCACAAAGAATGACAATGCTTTTTAAGCTGTATCGATTAAAGGTCTTACAATCAGAGTAACATATTTAAAGTGACTCTAGAGGTTCCTGCACATATCTACAGGAGCTTTAATGTCCTTACTCTATCTGAATGTCAAGCTGCTCTACTTGGAGCAAGACGTTACAACTGGTAGTGTCAGAAGTTGTCTGTGTCCTCTTACCTTCCACATAATTATACTGGTCTATGAGACTGCCCATAGTGATGTACTGATAGAATGTTTGGGGGCAACAGAGAACGGACAGGCTTTGATACTAGCAGAAAGTATGAGAGCTTTGCTTAGTGAGGGCAAATCTACATAAGTAATACTTCCTATACCATTGTCATTCTCCACCACTTAAAATATGATAAGCTATTGCATGCACGAAGTGCATAGGTTCATCTTTAAATAAAAGTGGAGCAAAGTAGTTTAGACTAAAGTGGATTTGTTGGAGATGATTCCTTGCTCCATTTTCACTAGGAGTATAAATTGGAACATTTCTGGATGTTATGTGCAGCAGCTTTAGTTTCGCACATTTTTTTTGCTCTGCTACTTTTGAAATGACCCTGTGAAATCATGAATCAGTAAATCCATTAAAATGTAAAAAGAACTTAGACACCCTTCCAGCATCGCTTGTACCTGTGTGGTTGCAAAAGTGAGATACTCTGGCTGGAACACTGTGATTAAAAACCTCCCTATTGCATTCCTTCTTCATGATCCAGTATTATTATGAAATAAGCACACATTGTGTACGACTAATGAGCCATTGCAGCAGGAACAATAACTTGCTGAGTGCTCATTTGCAAGGAATCTTGGTGTACCAAAAGTGATTGTTTTAAATCTTTGGCTGAATTTCCTGTTCCAAACTATTTAAATTATGAGTGACCGAATGCCAGTTTACATCACCCTTGTTGCCCCAGTTTTCCAGATGATCTTCAAACTATAAACAAACTTTTGGAAATGATGAGCCAATTGTGCACTCAAATCCATATTTCAAATTAGGAATAGCTTTATTGCTATGGTAAATGCAGTTGCTGATTAAATGAAAGATTACATCTGATTTACCCATATTGGGTACTTAGTACTCAGTGCAAAGATATATGGGGACATTAAAGGATAAGTTCACCTTTGAGAACGTTACACCCATTTTTAGGGTGTAACGTTCCCATAGCCACAGCCGGATTCCTGTCAGAATATCTGCTTGCTTGTACATCCTGTACGGCAAGCAGATATTCTGACAGGTCTGCAGAAGACCTGCATGGCATCAGCAATCTACTGATCGTTGGTGCAATGCTTTTCAGGCACCTGTAGACAAAAATAATAAATGCACATTTTTTTTTACTGCAAAAAAATGTGCATTTATTATTTTTGTCTAAACGGTGAACTTATCCTTTAAGGCTGACCCTGAAGTAAAAACTCCAAATTTTGCTCATTTAGTACCATACCAAATGCTGCAATAAATAAACAACGTATATGCAAAATATTATGAAAGGAATAGTTTACCTTCACCAAAGAACTGCCTATGCAGGTAAGCTGTGTCTGTAGATAAAAACAACCTGTGCAGCTCTGACTAAAATTGAATAATGCCCTTGCTATAGGTGTAGGCCATTTACATACCTCATGAAGCTTGAGTGGAATACTCCCAGGACATATTCACCTTGTTTCTGTTTTATATCCCATTTATTCCTCCCATTATCTGCAATCAGACATCCCAGTTAATATAATATATTACAGTAATATTGGATCAACCATATCTATACATTTTAACAGTATTAAGCACAATATTGGGGGAATTATCAAAAGTTTCTCTGACAAGTTCTATTTTACCTGGTGCTAAAAGTCAGTTCTTTTTTTAGAAAATTAAAATTTAAAAACTGATTTGTTGCACTCCAATTGAGACAAAGTTTGTCTGAGACACGGTTTATTAATTTCCCTCAGTGTGTTAAAATGATTCCAAATCTAATTTGTTTATTTAAATAACACGTCATACTTACCTGTTCTGTGTAATGGCTTTGCACAGTGGCCCCAATCCTCCTCTTCTGGAGTCCCCTGCCGGCATTCCTGCTATGGGGGAACTCATATGGGCTTGATCCTGAGGCATGCCGCCTGCACCCATTGACAAGGATGGAGCAACTCAGTCCCGCCCCCCTCTCCCTTGTCACAGGATTTGATTGACAGCAGCAGGAACCAATGACTCTATCTGTTGTCTCTCTGTCCTATGAGGATAGAGCTGCTGCTGTCGGGCACAGTGCTGGATCGATATCAGGGAATTTAGGGGGCTGGGAGGGGGGGTTCCTGATCACAGAAGGTTTTTTACCCTAAGGAAGAGAATGCATTAAGGAAGAAAAACCTTAAGCCTTTAGAACCACTGTAACACAGCCCGACCCATGGGTTTGCTCAGTCCCAGCAAAGGCAGCTCTGATTTCTCCTTCACTGATTCAGAGTTGCTGGTTCCATCTTTGCAGAAGCTTTTTCCACTGCTCGCCTCTTTCATCTTTAGCCATGGGAGGCCATTAATGATGCAACTCCCACACATGCACAAATGAAGAGCATCCTGCAACTATGCTCTGCTTATTCAGAAAATTCTTAGTGTGTACTTTATCTTTTGTCAAAACCTACCTTTCCTTTTCTAGCAAGTGTCTTCTACAAAAAAAAGCTACCCACAAGCAATTTTTTTTCCTGCCTTCAGCTTTGCTTACAGCCCATTGCATACGGACTGTCTAGCTGCAGTGTGGCCCTTCTGGTGCTTTAGTGTGTCCAGAAGGGACAGGTGCAGCGTCACATTCTGCTGCAGGCAGCTTGTCAAAGTCTATCACATTCTGCAGCTGGACAAGGCTGGATAATGTACCAAGTGGTATTTAGGGCTCTGTGTGTTCAGAGACATGGTTCTAGAATGCAGGTGTGCTGCCTTCCGGGCTTCATCCCTGAGAGTACAGGGCCTTAAATGTTTATACTAGGCCTATCCAGCAGGGTGTTCATCCCTGTCCAGCAGCTGCCTCCCATAGACTTTGACCAGTGGGGCTGGACACTGTGCCCGTCCCTCCTGGACGCACTAAAGCACCAGGAGGGACACACTGCAGTTGAATGGCCCCATGTGGAAGGGACCTTAAAAGTACTATATAATATTTTATTTATACAAAAAGAAATATTTGTTGTTTAAGCAACTAAAAAGTTCAAGTTTAAATTTATGATGATCTTGTGATGGGGGTTAATCCGGAACTGTAATCCCCTCCATTCCATCAATGCAAGGTCCATGAGCACCCTCTGTGGCTGCTGACATCAGTCTTTTTCTGGCTTCCAGACTTTGGCCTGTTTTCCAGCGCATGCGCACATGTTCATCTTGGCATACAGTTAGGTCCATATATATTTGGACACAGGCAAAATTTTAGATTTTTTCAGGTATTTACCAAAACATATTCAAGCTATAGTTATATAATGGGCTGAAAGTGCACACTCTCAGGTTTAATTTGAGGGTATGTACATGCAAATTGGAGGGAGGGTTTGAGAATTACAGCTCTTAAGAGTAGCTATCCCCCCTTTTTCAAGGGACCACAAGTAACTGGACAGTTCAATCAAAAGCAGTTTCATGGCCAGGTGTGGGCTACTCCTTCATTATTTCTTCATCAATTAAGTGTAGTATTTTCATTTTGGAATCTATTGCTGTTAACCTACATCATGTGTTCAAAGGAGCTGTCCATGCAAGTGAAACAGGCCATTGTAAGGCTTCAAAAGCGAAACAAATCCAACAGAGGGCAGCAAGATTAGGAGTGGAGAAATCAACAGTTTGGTACATTCTGAGGAAAGAAGAATGCACTGGTGAGCTCAGCTACATAAAAAGGCATGGATGCCCATGGAAGACAACAGTGGTGGATGATCACAGGATCCTCTCTATGGTAAAGAAAAACCCATTTACAACATCCAAACAAGTAAAGGGCACTCTCCAGGAGATGGGCGTATCATTGTCAAAGTCCACAATCAAGAGAAGACTTCACAAGTGCAAATACAGAGGGTTCACCACAAGATGCAAACCATTCCTAAGCTTGAAGAATAGAAACGACAGATTAGACTTTGCTAAAAAAAATCAAAAAAATCCAGATCAGTTCTAGAAAAGCATTCTTTTGATGTATGAAACTAAGATTAATCTGTACCAGAATGACGGGAAGAAAAAAGTGTGGAGAAGGCTTGTGTCGGAGATCGCCGCGCCGCTGGGCTCGGCGCAGGCGCAGTACACCTCCCTGTACGCGAGCGCCGGGACTTGGCCGACCGCGGCAATCAGGTTCGCGCATGCGCAGTAGTGACCACGGGCGCGCGCGCCTGGCACCAATGACAGCGCAGGGCGGGATATTTAAACGGCCCTGAGCTGTCATTCAGTGCCTTTTGGTCTCCTTGTATCCTGTGAACCTGTGAACCTGTTGTAGTAAGTTGCTGACCCGGATTGTGCCCTGACCTTGCTGTTTTCTCCTGTTCTTGACCCTTGCTTGCCTGACCTCTCTCCTGAATGCCCCCTATTGGATCTGACCTGCTGTTGCTGACCTGGCGTGTGACCCGACTATTCTTTTGCCCGCTGCTCTGTACCGCACCGTCCCATAGTTACCGACCCGGCTTGTATGACCCTGCACTTGCTCAGCCATCCATCCATCCGTCCCTCTCAACGGGGTCTCCAGACCTCCTCATACCTGGCTCTCTCCCGTGGGAGCCCCTGGCGAATACCCCTACCACTGACGGGTGTCCTCAGTAGTCACGACCTGGTCCTGGGGTACTCCAAGTCCATCCCCACCATCAGGGGCCTGGTGAACAAGTACTCTGGGGCTTAGTCTCCGTGCGCTGGGAACATCCGATCAGTGGAGTGCTAGTGGTACCGCCGGGTGGTCCCTTACAGCTTGGAACAGCTCATGATCCAAAGCACACAATGTCACCTGTAAAACATGAGTACTGGGTCATTGGTGTTTATTGATGATGTGACAGAAGCAGAAGCATCCGGATGAATTCTGCAGTGTTTAGAGATATTCTGTCAGTGTCAAGGTCCTACCTTTTCCCAGAGGTTATGTTACTCCATGTGCTGGCATCCATCTTGGATTTCTGCTGAGCATGGTGGGAATCTTTTATGCCTTCAGGTCTCTGAGGTCCATCCCCCAGAGGGGTGTGGCTGAGTACATATAAGCCTGTGATCCGCACATGCTCTTTGCACTTGTGTCTTTGTCTTGCTACAGCTCTGTGTATACGCTCGTGACTCTTCTGGTATCTGACTCGGCTTGTGACTAGACCATTCTCTGTGTTTTCCTTTGATCTGACCTTCCGTTGCTGAACCCGGCCCGTGACCTGTGATTCTCTGTCTACTGTTCTGTACCGTTTTGTCCCGTTGTTGTCGACCCAGCCTGTCTCACTACGCTATTGTCATTCTCACCAGCTACACGCCGTTGGCGGCGGCCATTACCGCAGCCGGGGTGTCTCGGGGGCCGCGACCTGGTTCCTGGCTGCGTCAAGTCCATCCCCACCATTAGGGGCCCTGGTGAAGGGCAGCCTGGGACTTAGACTCCGCTCCCTGAGGGACTTCGGTATGTTGGTGGTGGTTGTCGTCAGCCAGTGCATTACCCTGCCACTAGGCCTACCTGTCCGTTCCACAGCCCTGCCCTGACAGTCAGCCCAGATTCAGCCAAATGCAGAAAATTGATTGGACGGCGCTTCACAGTACAGATGGACAATGATCCAAAACACACTGCAAAAGCAACGCAGGAACTTTTAAAGGAAAAGAAATTTAATATTCTGCAATGGCCGAGTCAATCACCCGATTGAAACCCAATTGAGCATGCATTTCACTTTCTGAAGGCAAAACTAAAGGCAGAAAGACCCACAAACAAAGAACAACCAAAGACAGCTGCAGTTAGAGCCTGGCAAAGCATCAGAAAGGAGGAAACTCAGTCTTTGGTAATGTCCATGGGTTCCAGACTTCAGGCAGTCATTGCCAGTAAAGGATTCTCAACAAAATATTAAAAATGAACATTGTATTTATGATTATATTAAATTGTCCAATTACTTTTGGTCCGTTGAAAAAGGGGGAATGGCTACTCTTAAGAGCTGTAATTTCTAAAGCCTTACTCCAATTTCGATGTACACACCCTCATATTAAACCTGAGAGTGTGCACTTTCAGCCCATATCCATTATATAACTATAGCTTGAATATGTTTTGGTAAATACCTGAAAAAAATCTAAAATTGTGCCTGTGTCCAAGTGTATATGGACCTAACTGTATATAGCTTAGTGTACATTGTGAACAAGCAGGTAAGAATACTTTAAAGCAGAAGAGACCTGCATTAAAGTATTCTTACCGGTTCACAAATATAAATTTATTAAGTAAAGTTCCACTTTAATCATTTGCTTAATGCATGTCTTTTCCTCTACTTTCTTATTAATATTTGAAGGATGTTTGGCCACCTGCATGTTCTTGTAGTTGCATTGTGTTTAAATTCCCCGAGGCTTCTAGCTGCTGAGTCTGCTTCATTAATTTAGCAGCTGCCATCTTGTGTAACAAGTTTACACAGTATAAAAAAAATTATAATTCTATACACAGTACATTTACCCGTATAGGAACACATGTCTGTATGCTGTCTGCTCAAAACATAAAAGGCCATCAGTAAACAGATGCTAGTTGTATTGTCTTAATGTCTGAAACACATTGTTATCCCTTTAAAGCATAAAAATATGTGTACATTTACATTTTAGTACAATATTTACATAATACTGTAGCCAGTGTTGATCTGGTAGGGTGTGTGTGCGATAATTAATTTCAATATATTTCAAATCAAAGATTTCATCAATATGTTTCTTTGTGCAAAACATTCAGTGCTAAAATATAAAATATTTTTTTTTTCTAACCCCTTTATGATGAGGGTAAAGCAACTCCTAGTGTCTGAACACAGTTTTGCAGCTTTGGCATGTGTTAGTAAAACAGTAGCTACTTAGTGTATCTAGATGGGCTTTCATTTGGTGGTAAATGGTAACGGATATCTCATATCTTTATTATCAAAGGAAAACTGGCCATAATTTGTAAAAAAATAGATATTTTTTTTTTTAAGTTTAGCTATATTTTTCTTGCTACTACCATAACCTTCCACTAAAGAACAACCCAAAATAAATTTCCCCTGCTCCCCACAATTACAGCGATACCACATACTTGTATGTTATTTATTGTTTGTACTGGTATTAGGGCCCAGAAACAATGGTGCTATTTGTGCTACCTAAAACACACTGACACTAATTTTAAAAAACTAGGGATGCACCGAAATTTCGGAGGCCAAAACGTTGTGCCCAAAAATATGCCTATCTGCCTTTGGCCAATATGAAAATAGGTGCCGATTATAGCCCCGCTCCCCACCACCTATTTCCAGTGGTTCTTAGGCTTACCTGAGAACCCATTCCAACAATGCTGATAGCTGGATATAGGGATCAGTAAAGGAAAGATGGCCTCCACTCATCTCTATGCCCTTAGAGGACCGGAGCGACGTCATTATGTCACTTCAGGTTTCAACGCCATGTAAACAAGGTCATTTTCTTTTTTTTAAAGCACTAGATCATTGTTTTTTTTATCTAATGCAGGGGTCTCCAAACCTTTTAAACAAAGGGACAGTTTTTTCTCCTTCAGACTTTAGGGGGCCAAACTGTGGGCAGTGGGAGTAGAAAATGTCCAGAGGTCACTGGGAGTAAAGAGTGCCCTATCTTTCTTATTAGGGGGAGGAATAGTGCCCCATCATTGGTGTCATTGGGAGAAATAGTACCCCGTTGTTGGTGTCATTGGAAGGAATAGTGTCTTGTATCCATGGAAGGAATAATGCCGCAAGAGCCAGATAAAGGCAAGCCAAGGACCGCATCTGGCCTTTGGGCCGCAGTTTGGAGACCACTGATCTAATGCTTTACATTGTAGAGGAGAGATGTGGGGTCTTATTGACCCCACATCTCTCCATAAAGAGGACCTGTCACTGCTTATTTCTGTCACAAGGGATGTTTGCATTCCTTGTGATAAGAATAAAAGTGATTAAAAAATTTTTTTTTTTTTTAAAGGAACAGTGTAAAAAAAAAAAAAATCCAGATCAAACTTTGATCCAACTATTTTTCAATGTTTATTAATATTATATATTTATTTTTTTTACATTTTTCTCCACTAACTACTATTCTCTCCATTCAAAGGAGAAAGCATACACAGGGCCCAGTGTACAGAGGCTTTTACAGCAATCGGGTGATTGGGAACCAGGCTTTCTGGTTCCCAGTTGTTACACGGGGCAAAGACAAATACCCATATATGTGGCCTTACAGAAGAAGACCCAGTTCCACAAGACTGCATATATATGTGTACATGCGGTGGCAAGGGGTTAATCAGATAAATAGTGCATATGTATGCTCATATTTGCTACTTCCAGCCAGTGGTTGGCACTCTTAAGGCTATTCTGCTGCTCTTGCATGCTAACATTTTGCTGTGCCCTGAATGACCTAAATTGTGTTTTTTTTTTTTTTTTTTATGAAACCATTTACACAACTAATGAGAAATTTATATGAAAATATCAGTTGATAAATTTATGATTACAAATTTTAACTCGCATGCTTCTTCATTTTCAATTAGAAGTAATAAACATCTCAAAACATCGCTGGTAAAGAATATATCGATTAGTATGCTTTATGTTTGTAAACCCAGGAAAGTTTACATTCTATGGAGAATATTGACCAGTGAGATTCTTCTTTATTTTGCAGCAAGTTGAACTGTTAATATGAAGGGCATTATTCCCTCCATTCATAATAGTACAAGTACAACAAATAGGACAGGACTAGTGGTAGAAGGCAACACTTTGCTAATAGCCTTGGATGGCAGCAATGACAGAAACTGCTCTAAGCACAACAGCAGCTATGGAACAGTACAAAAGCATTAATTATATGCAAAAAATGTAACCCTTCAGTTAAGTAATATAACGTTTAGGGGAAACTATAGGGGCTGTTAATGTTGCTTTTTATCATTTTATTTGTAGTGAATAAAATACAAAGAAAAATAGGGTGTTGTTTTGGGTGCTACATTGGTTTATTATTTACTTATTGAAAGGCAAACTCTTAGGTCCAGTATGCAGTTTTTTGCTGGGTTTTGCTTATAGTAGAACAGTATTGTGATACTGTTGGTAGTTCTAGATGCAAAACATTTAGCAAAGCAAATCATGCTCTAATCGAAGGTCCCCTTCATAGTAACCTAACCTAACACTAAGCCTGCTTATAACCCCTAAATTATTTTGTCTATATATACACTTTATCTTCTTAATTGCGTTTAGCTCCTTCTGGGCTGGAATCCTCTGCACTGAATAGTTGTTGTGCCCAAAGGTAATAGCACCAGGAACCTTGGGGATGGAATCTTGCCTTAGTATAAAATTTGATTATTCTGAACATTTTTCCAACAAGAATAAAGCATCAATACTAACTGTTGGTCATGAGTAAGGAATTAATAATTGATACCTTTTACTGAAATCTATTTTTTTTCTTTGCTGTGCTTTGCATACATTTGTCAGTTATTAACAAGTATTTTGTGGTTTTAGGTGGTTAAGACGGTGGGGCTGCGTGAGGTGTGGTACTTTGGACTGCAATACATGGATTCCAAGGGTTTCCCGACTTGGTTGAAACTTGATAAAAAGGTACGTTTGCCATTCAGTAGTAGCATCCAGAAGTCATACCTAAATTTCCACGATGGCTAATGGTTCTTCACCTGTGTTCACACAGTAATTATTTAACCAGCGCAAACAATATGCTACAAAAAGTGTTTTATCAAAGAGCAGCCTATATTACTGAAGAGGTGAGATTCTGCTTTTCAGAATAGAGCACAGTCTGTCAGTTATTGAATTGAAACAGTAAGATGTTCGTTTGTAGAAATGTTGCCAGATATTGCAGTGCTAACTGGTTTAAGGTATAGTGAAAGCTAGTTATGACTTCACTTACACTAGTGATAATACATTTGTTTTTTTCCTCTGCAGGACATGTTGCCATTATGGGTTAGCTTTACTGAAGTCTCGTTCCCAGCTTCATGGCCTGGCTCTATTAGTTTCCATATTTCCTGTAAAACAATTTGCTTCTGACCACCACCAGATAGAACTGATTTGAGATGGGAAACTGCTTTGGATTGGCCTGAAAGAGCAACCTGTCTCCCTTGAGCAGATTTTTCAGAGCAAACAGGAGGTACTCAGAGCCTGTAGGTTGCATGCAGTTTAGTTGTAAAGAAGCATTTTATTCAGTAAAGGTAACATATAATATTGACATTTTTTGAGAGGTGTCTGGGACAAGTAAGACTACATGCATTAGGACGCATTCTACCTTGCATAGCAAAAAGCGAGTGTGTATTTAGTGCCAGGGATGTCCTGGAGCGGTGTACCGCTGTGCAAAGACATAAATGGGTAAAGGCTCTATTTGCACGGAGTGACGCACACACACAGATGAAGGCACAGTGGCCAAACGACTGGCTTCTGTCAGACCAGCTGTCGTACACACGGGCTGTATTTTGGTCGGTTTATATTGAACCAGCCAATGCAAGCATTCTACCTGTGAGTTCTAGGTTTAAGTATTACTTTTTATTCCTGCACCCCTAGACTTAATAAGCAGTTAACCCTTGCAGTGTGTGCGGGGGGAAGGCATTGCATTTGTGGATTTAGCTAATTCTCCTGAATTGGGCATTAAGACGTGTCTCAGTCAAAAAATATGCTTACAGTCCTCTAAAAATAATGTCTTAGGGTCAACAAATGTCTTGGTCTTTTCATCACGATAAAACTTGTAGAGACCAGTCACCAGTTTACATGACTGCTGATACTATCACAGGGAACATGTAGAATCTTCTGTCGGTAGATTAGCATGACCCGGAACTTCATTCATTTTCCTACATTGCACTGTTTCAGAATTAATTTCAACACAAGTACTGTTGTGTGTGTGTAATAAATAAATATATTATATATATATATATATATATATATATATATATATATATATATATATATATATAATATATACATATATATACAGTTGTGTTCAAAATAATTGCAGTCAGACATCACTAACCTGATCAATCACTGTTTGTGGTAGAAATGATATTTCTACATGGCAAATAATTTACTAGCAGGTGTAGTAGAGTAATAGAAATCCAACAGACCCAACAGTCATGACATGCATGCTGCTGATTCTGTGTAATTGAATCACTAGTTGAAAGGGGCATGTTCAAAATAATAGCAGTGTGGAGTTCTATTAGTGAGGTCATTCATTCTTTGAAAAAACAGGTGGCAATTATTGCCCTTATTGAAGGAAGGCAGCAAATGTTGTACATTCTGGTTACAGTGCATTTCTCTCTGAAATTCTGAGGAAAATGGGTCGTTCCAGACATTGTTCAGAAGAACAGCGTACCTTGATTAAAAAGTTGATTGGAGAGGGGAAAATGATTAAAAAGTTGATTGGAGAGGGAAAACATATATAAAGAAGTGCAGAAAATGATAGGCTGCTCAGCTAAAATGATCGCAAATGCTTTAAAACCTGAAAGACGTGGAAGAAAGCGAAAAACTACCATTTGAATGGATAGAAGAAAAGCCAAAATGGCAAGGACTCCGCCAACAATCAGCTCCAGGAAGATCAAAGAAGGTCTAAAGTTACCTGCGAGTACTGTTACAATTAGAAGACGCCTATGTGAAGCCAAGCTATCTGCAAGAAGCCCCCGCAAAGTCCCACTGTTGAAAAAAAGACGTGCTGAATAGGTTACAATTTGCCAAAGAGCACATTGACTGGCCTAAAGAGAAATGACGCAACATTTTGTGGACTGATGAAAGTAAGATGATTCTTTTTGGGTCTAGTGGCCGGAGACAGTTTGTCAGACGACCCCCAAACACTGAATTCAAGCCACAGTACACTGTGAAGACAGTGAAGCATGGTTGCGCAAGCACTATGATATGGGGATGTTTCTCATACTACGGTGTTGGGCCTATTTATCGCATACCAGGGATCATGGATCAGTTTGAATACATTGGAATACTTGAAGAGGCCATGCTGCGTTATGCTGAAGAGGAAATGCCCTTGAAATGGGTGTTCCAACAAGACAACGACCCCAAACACACCAGTAAACGTGCAACATCTTGGTTCCAGACCAACAAGATTGACATTATGGAGTGGCCAGCCCAATCCCCGGATCTTAATCCAATAGAAAACTTGTGGGGTGACATTAAAAATGCAGTTTCTGAGGCAAAACCAAGAAATAGAGAAGAACTGTGAAATGTAGTCCAATCATCCTGGGCTGGAATACCTGTTCACAGGTGCCAGAAGTTGGTTGACTCCATGCAACACAGATGTACAGCAGTTCTCAGAAACAGTGCTTATACAACTAAATATTTATGATTCAAAGGAAAGCAAAATCTTCAAACATTTTTCAGCTTATATAGTGAAGGTTTGAGTTTGTAAAGAAGAATACAAACACTGCTATTTTTTTGAACCGTCTAATATTCACTTTTCTTCAAATTTTTTTTAGAGGAACAACACAAATTTGATATATTTTTTTCTTCATGATTTGATTTGGAATAGAATGTGTAGTGTTCCCAATGCATTTGTGTGTATGGAAATAAAAGCCATTAGAAGGATTTTGAGCTTTATTTTTTCACTTTTTTCAACACACTGCTATTATTTTGTGTGTGTGTGTGTGTGTGTGTGTGTATGTGTGTGTGTGTATATGTATATGTATATGTATATGTGTATATATATATATATGACATTTATTTACATTTTTGAATGGAATAGGGAAGGGTGTATACCCCTACCATTTCCCTCATAGACAGGTATTCCCATTGGAAGATTTCCCACTACCTTATGCTCTGTGAACTGTAAATTTGGGATTTTACTCCACTTCATACCTACCTATTCTATTCAGAAGTTACAATTATATTTTTTACAGCACTGTAGCTGACGAGGCCTGTAAATGTGACTCTCATTTCTTCCAAGTTTTATTACACACTGTTACTGGTTATTTTACTCTATACAATTATGCTAAAAGTCAGATGAGCTATCCTAGAAAGAAAACAATGCAACAACACATTTTTAAACACCAGATGTCACACCTCCCAGGAATAAAAAATGTTGGAATCACAATAATAAACACATCAGTACACATCATTAATGCATCCTATGTAGACAGCTATCTCAGGACACTAATGATACAAGAAATAGTGTGGTAGATATAGAATAGCTAGAGGAAGTGTAAATTTGGACCATAGCAACCAGATATTGCTGTCGTTTTCCATATCTTCTATACAGATGACAGTTGTAGATAGGTTGTTGTGGACAACACAGACATTTGTATTGCCTCCAGTTACTATAGTTTTAAAGTACTGTAAATTGATAAAGGGTGCTGCTACTTTTTTTTATAAAGGTATTCTTTTACAGGATTCATATAAGGTTTGTACGTTTTATAGTAATAAATTAGGCAACACAATTTTAGATGTTTTAAATGCCAGTGCATCTGTCACGTGATCTCCAACAAGAGTTGAAGGCCTGACTTTCAGGCAGAACCATCCAATCAGCAGCTCAGGCTGAACAGTTCTTCTCCTCTTCTCTTTATTATGTTTAAAGGGTTAACTTAAGTCAGAACAGACAGCAGTAAACACCCAACAGGATTCAATCTTTCAACATTCTGTCCAAAACTAGAAAAATAAGTTTTGGCAAACACACTACACGTACATAAGTTTATTTTCAAATTTAAAAAATGGGATTGATCAATGGCAAAATATTAATTTTGGGTAACCCAGTCCATTACTGTTGTGTTTTTTTTAAAAAAAAGGAAAGTATCACTTTATTTGCTGTGTGTTCTCCTGATTTTAATTTTTGGACAGATATATTAACTAAAGTTACTAATGCTCATAAGTTTTCTGCTTAAAGTGCTCATACTGTTAATGTGTATACCTAATGTCTAACCTGTAAGTGTGATGCCTGTTACCAAATTATTTATTAAAGTGGACCTTGTAGTAAAATGCAAGTTCTGCTTACGTTGCCTGATTCCCTTTTCCCTTCACAAATCACTTACTATTAGTAGGTTTAAGTTGTAAAACAAAATGTTAGGGTTTATACTTTTCTTACTCCTGTCTTCTGCCAGTGGTGCTTTTAATGACGAAGGAACTGCAAGGAAAGCTTTTGAAAAATTGTAACCGCCATTTCTCTTTATTTCTGTATGGCCATCACAAATAGTTTGTGTTTCATGTTTGTTTTATATTTATTAATCTTGTGGATTCTTATTTCCTGGGTGGAAGACGTTCAGCCCTATCTTCCCCAGCCTTACTCTCTTGGGCCTGCCCTTTTCATTTATTTGATTTCTAACATATCAATCATGAATCACAACCATGCACAGGCACACTAAGATCAATCATGAATCACAACCATGTGCTTGCAGACTTCCTAGAAACTTCCACATCTTGAGACTGTCATTCATCGTTAAAAGCATTTTGATATTTAAATATTTTCTCACAAGAGCCAGCCCACTGCTTGTATCAGGACTGAGAGCTCTTGAGAAGAATACTGAGGTCTGGTGATGTTTTCTGGAAGCTACACACAGCACTCTGCCAGCCTCTTCCACCAGCCTTTTCAAAACAAATGGTTTTATTTAAAAAATGATTATCATGCTGATGGG